CCTCACCGGTAATCGAACCCCTGACCTCCTGGTTCATGGGTTGACACTCAACCACTGAGTCACACCGGCCCGGCTGGAAGTCATGCAGTTTTGCTGCATGTATTTTACACACTGGATATTAAGGGACTTGGTAGTGGTTTCTGTCAGTGAATGGAACCTTTGGCATTTTTAGAGCCTGAAAAAGCAGAAGCAAGGTCTTGGAAAGCTGAGGTTGTTACTGGTGGCCTGTGATTCATTAACCCTATAGTTATCACCTCTAGGTCACTCCAAAAGACCACTTAACATTTCATTGACATTCCTAGTCATTCAGAGGTGAATAGTAATTGCTTTTACCCTGTAGAGGAGGGAGTCTTTCATCTAGTAGTCACAGTGAGGCACTCTGAGGAACTAACTTCTTTACATATTATCTATCCAGTTAGGAGAGAAGACCACTATACATTTATTATTTTAAGCCCCAAACTTTGACACAAAGTAAAGAGAAAGATTTTCTTTCAGCCATATAAGGAGGTGGTAGGATAAGGACTTTGGAGCTCAGAGGAATCCGTAGGAGCACTTGGTGCAGTGGTTTTCAAACCACATTTCCTAGAGTTGTAGAATTCTTTCATGGCCAGTATGAATGGGGAAGGGGGAAGGCTGAGAGGATAGGATACTAATTCCAAGCCCCTACCTTCCCTTCCACCAAAGCTCTTTCCGTTTTTTTACTGCTAAAGAACAGTTCAAAAATCACTGATCTGGCCCTAGCTGGTTTGTCTCAGCAGATAGAGCGTCAGCCTGCAGACTGGAGGGTTCTGGGTTTGATTCCAGTTGGGGGCACATGGCCGGGTTGCCACTTGATCCCTAGTGCGGGGCGTGCAAGAGGCAGTCAATCAATTATTCTCTCTCATCATTGATGTTTCTATCTCCCTCTCCCTCTCCCTTCCTCTCTAAAATCAATAAAAATATATTTTTTAAAAATCAAAAAAAAAAAAAAAAAAAGAAAATTATTCATTTCTGTCGATTCTTTTAAATTTTTGAAAATGAACTGTATGTTAATAAACACTGACTTTATGATCATTCAAAGTGTGTATACATTTTTTGGGGGACACCCCGTATAAAAGGAATGAAGAGGAACCCCCTACCCTTACCACCCACCCTCGGACCAAATACTGATTTTTACTATTGATAGTTCTTCTCCTAAAGGAGGGTATTGTCCAAACTAGGTGAGGACTACGACAGTTTTTAAGAGAAAGGCTCTTCTTTCATCGCTTCTGAGATGGATTCTAGTAAAAACACAGAGATGCTAAAAAGCAGAACTCGGACCCTCCAGGAGCACGTTCACGTGTGAAGTTCCATTTCCAAATGACGCTTCTTCATCGTGTCCACCTGTGTTGACTCACCTGCATTAAGGTGATTTTCCAAACAGCAAACCACAAGGACAGGAACAAGCTTCTGGAATAAGACCACAGTGCAACACGGTGGGAACGGGACGCACAGGAATCAGGTTTAGGGGCCACAGAACTGTCGCACTCCCACCCCACACAGGCCCTGTGTAATAAATTCCTTTGACTGTCATGAGGAACCCCCTCCAGAAAAGTGCTGCTCACTCAGAGCGGACCCGGACCAAGAGAAGATGCCTTGTCGGATGAGAAAACTGGTGAAGGGAACGGACAGAATCGGGTGCGAAATGAGGAGAAGGGGAAAAAGAAATGAAAATGTCTAATACACCAGTACTTTCTAGAGCTCTGAAATATAATATTAAACCTCAAGCAAAATATTTAGACCGATCTTATTTCTTGTCCAGATTTTCCAGGGACCTCTCATCCATCCATCCATCCATCCATCCATCCATCCATCCATCCATCCTCACTTGTTTAGTGCTATGAGGTGTTTAGCATTATTCTAAGCACTAGGGAAGCAGCAGTAAACAAAACAGGCAGTCTTTGCTCTTCTGACATTACATTATAGTGGGTTCAGGTATCCCATCCTGGGCAGCCTTCTTTTTTTTAACCCTTACTCAAAGATATGTTTTTATTGATTTGAGAGAGAGCAAAAGAGAGAGAGAAAGAGAGAGCAACAGAGAGAGAGAGAGAAAGAGAGAGAGAGATCTATTGGTAGCCTCCCACACATCCCCTGACTAGGAATTGAACCCAAAACCTTTTGATGTATAGGATGACACTCCAACCAACTGAGCCACCTGGCTAGGGTAGCAGCCTATTTTTTTATGAGCAGTATCCAAATTCCTGATAGCACATAGGATTTTCTGACCCATTACCCCAATCTGACAAGTGCAGAACACACGAAAAGGCAGGTGGGTGCTAAAGAGAATTCATTAAAGGGATGTCTGTGACTTTTTTGTATGAATATAAGCCGGGTTAGAATAATTTATAATTTAATTCCTATAATTTAAGCACCACGTCATGAAGCATTTTAAAAAACTAATTTAAATTTTTATTTTATTTTCCCTCATGCCAACACCAGGGTGCCGTGTGCTTAAACACCATCATTTCCACAAACAGGGCCTTGTCACAGCTGTGTTACACACCCCCCTCATTTACTTGTTAGCACCAGGAATAATAATGAGTTTGTCTGAATGGTAACCACGGCCTGGAAGAACTGATTCTGAAATATGTGGTAAAGGGAACAGGCTGGGAGGCTAAGAGATATAACAAAATACATTTGGAGGTGAAATGGAGGAGCAACTGGAAAAGGGACTGGGCTGCTTAAATAATTTTGGTGGTGGTGAGGGAAAAGGTTTGAAAGTATCTTGTCAGAAACTGAGCATTTCCAGGTTCTTAGAAATAAAATATCCTCATTTGACAGAGGAGTAAATGAGTGTAGAGAGCTTAAGTGACCAGGCCTCCGAACTAATAATGGCAGAACTAGGGACAGAACCCAGATTTCCCGATTCCTGGCCAATGCCTGTTTCACTCAGTTGAACTGTCCATTATAATCATCCGTTGTGTTTCAGATAATCCAACTGGGTCAACCAGTTTCCACAAAATCTGCCTATTTCAAGAATTCCACAATAAGATAATTAATATAGTATGTACTTTCTGGCGCAGGAAAATGGTTAAAGAATTCAAAATCTATTTAGTGAAAACTAACAGTTTTATCTTTTTTGTTGTTGTTAATCCTCACCCAAGGATATTTTTTCCCATTGATTTCTGTTTAGAGAGTGGGAGGGAGAGGGAGAAACATACATTTTTTTTGAAAATATATTTTTATTGATTTCAGGGAAGAAGGGAGAGGGGGAGAGAGAGAAACATCAATGGTGGGAGAGAATCATTGACTGGCTGCCTCCTGCACGCCCCACACTGGGGATCGAGCCTGTAACCTGGGCATGTGCCCTTGACCGGAATCGAACCTGGGACCCTTCAGTCCACAGGCTGACACTCTATCCACTGAGTCAGTGGTTCTCAACCTTCCTAATGCCGCGACCCTTTAATACAGTTCCTCATGTTGTGGTGACCCCCAACCATAAAATTATTTTCGTTGCTACTTCATAACTGTAATTTTGCTACTGTTATGAATCGTAATGTAAATATCTGATATGCTATATGTGTTTTCTGATAGTCGCGACCCACAGGTTGAGAACCGCTGCGAGTGACTGAGCCAAACCAGCCAGGGCAAGACATATAAATTTGAGAGACACATTGATTGGTTGCCTCCCACATGCACCCCAACCAGGGCGTGGGATTGAACCTGCAACCAGACACGTGCCCTTGACAGGGAATTGAACCGGAAACCCTTTGGTTGGTGGGCCGATGCTCTAACACTGAGCACACCAGCCAGGGCAGATTTATCTATGTCAGGGGTCCTCAAACTACGGTCCGTGGGCCACATGCAAATACAAATATTGTATTTGTTCCCATTTTGTTTTTTTTACTTCAAAATAAGATATGTGCAGTGTGCATAGGAATTTGTTCATAGTTTTTTTTAAAACTATAGTCCGGCCCTCCAACGGTCTGAGGGACAGTGAACTGGCCCCCTGTTTAAAAAGTTTGAGGACCCCTGATCTATGTCTTCATTTTTGACCCTAGGTCAGTGGTTGTCCACTGGGGCCATCTGGCAATGTCTGGCGACAATTTTAGTGGTGACCATTGGAGGTGAAGTGGAGGGGACATGGGAAGTGCTGTTAAACATACAGAGCTTACCATGCACAGGACAGCTCCACGCCACAAAGAATGACCTGGCCCCTCATGCCAGGAATGGCCAGGCTGAGACACCAAAATGGGAGCTCAGATGGGAAGCTACTGAGCTGTCTGGACCCTGGGGGAAATGCCATGTGGATGAAGAATTTGCCAGCGAAGTAACGGTTTCAAAAAAGAATTCAAAACTTTTTTGGGCTCCTCAATCCAAAATCTTTCCCATCCTATTTAAGCGGGCATACATTCATTTCCCTTCACTTTCTGGTGCTTTCCAGATACTGAGTTGTGTGTTGTTGTTTTTAAATAATGACCCGAGGATATTTTTCCACTGATTCTTAGAGAGAATGGAAGGGAAGAGGAGGGACACACAGAGAGAAACTTTGATGTGAGAGAGACACATCCACTGGTTGCCCCCTGCACGCACTCGGACAGGGGTGGGGGATCGAACCTGCAACCGAGGTACGTGCCCTTGACTGGGAATCGAACCTGGGACCCTTAGGTCCACAGGCTGACACTCTGTCCACTGAGCCAAATCAGCTGGGGCTTCATGGAGTTTTAGAGAGTATAAAGGCTGGGGAGGGGGGAGGGAGAGAGAGAAAGAGAAAGAGAGAGAGAGAGAGAGAGAGAGAGAGAGAGAGAGAGAGAGAGAGAGAGAGAGAGAGATGAAAGAGACATATGGATAGGTTGCCTCCCCATCAAACCTGCAACCCAGGTACATGTTCTTGACTGGACATTGAACCCAAGACCCTTCAGTGTGTGGGCCAATGCTCTAAACACTGAGCCACACCTGCCAGGGAAGCAATAAAGTACTTTTAAACTAAGGTATGTACATTTTTTAGAAATATTGCTATTGCACACTTAATTAACCACAGTATCATGTAAACATAAAACGTACGCACAGGGAAACCAAAAAATTCGTGTGACTCACTTTATTGCAATAGTCTGGAACCAAGTCCACAATATCTCCGAGGTATACCTGTAAGTTCTGATGGTGCTACTTCTTGTCTTCGCTTCTCTCCACTTCCAACATTCATTCACTTAAAAATGTTTAAAAATGTATTTTCATGGATTTCAGAGAGGAAGGGAGCGGGAGAGAGAGATAGAAACATCAATGATGAGAGAGAATCATTGATCGGCTGCTTCTGCACGCCCCACACGGGGATCCAGCCCCGAAACTCCGGCATGTGCCCTGACCTCTAGTTCCTAGGTGGCACCCAACCACTGAAACACACCGTCTGGGCAATTCATTTAAAACTTAATTCCTCTCCCCGACTCCCCAAATTTAAACACAACCCGCTCACTCCTGACAAGGCACAAAAGCTCACCCCACCCCAGATCCTGCAGTGCGGATTACCCCAGGGTGGGCACCTTGCCCTTCTCCTCCTGCCGGGCACTGGCTGAGCCCCTTGGGCGGCCACTTCATGTTTCCGGGCCTTCGTCTCCTTCCCTGTAAAACAGGGGGTTTAATCCATCTCTTCCGCTCCGGGGCCCTCTCGTCCGCCCACTCCCACCACGAAGGCTCCCAAGCGCTCACCGGAGTCCACACTGTTCGCAGTTTTCTGAATACTTTCCTGTCTCTGCATAGGGGCTGGGGACCCCCATTCTACAAATGGGGAACCCGAGGATGGGCTGCCCCGGAACCGGACCACGGTCTCACAGGTTTGAGGGAAGGGGCTGGAGATCGGGGGTCTTCTCCAAAGCCCCGCAGCACCAAGGGGGGGCGCAGACCAGCTTCTCGGCCGTCCCGGGCCCCTCCGACCCCGCTCCTCGGCTGGGCGACCGGGAGCAGCTCGAGTACCCGAGGCAGGTCCCCCCCTTCGGCTCCGGGCCGCCGGCCGAGGCGCATGCGCGCGCGCACAGGGACCGGCGGGGGGCTGGCCGCCCGCGCGAGGTCCCGCCCCGACGCCACCCGGTTGTCAGGGCATCACGGGGCGGGGCGGGGCGGGATGAGAACGCGGCTGAGTAGACTTCCATTGTTAGTTAATAGCCTTTTGCTTCCTGAAGCTCGTCGGAAGCTTCTTCGGAGTTGTTCTTTACTGTCCTTTGGTTCCTTCGCTTTCCGACTGGACGGGGCCGATTTCCTGTCCCCAGGCGCGCGGGTTACACTCCCGCCGCAGGCGGACTCGGCGCGACCAGGTGCCGGCGGAGGCGGCTTTAAGGCAGCGGTTCTCAAAATCCTGATTTCTGGGCCTCGTCCTCCGGAACTTCTGTTTCTTTGTTATGGGGTGGGGCCACAGCATTAGTAACAAAGAAACAGAATTTCCGGAGGATGAGGCCCAGAAATCAGGACTTTAACAAGATTCCCAGGTGATTCTCATGTGCAGCCAAGGTTGAGAACCACTGGCTTTAAGGTCTCCCGTTGTCAATCAGGTTCACATCCGCACGTCGTGCTTTTCTTTCCACTTTTTTAAAAAAGATTTTTTATTGATTTCAGAGAAGAAGAGACAGAAACATCAACGATGAGAGAGAATCATTGATCGATTGCCTCCCGCACACCCCCCACTGGGGACCGTGCCCCCAACCCAGGCATATGCCCTTGACTGGAATCGAACCCGGGACCCTTCAGTCCGCAGGCCGACGCTCTATCCACTGAGCCAAACCCGCTAGGGCTTCTTTCCACTTTTGCTGTTGATTCCTCTCTCGTTTATAACGGCATCTTAATTTATCTGATGTCTTCGTTCAGATCTTAGACCAAATTACGAATCTGAATTTTGCACAGATGACTCAGTGGTGACTAATTCCTCTCTAGAAAGGAGATCACAGCAGGATTTCTTTAAATAGAAAATTTCCTCAACGCCCTGAAAACGGTTCACTTTACATGAAATTCATTTAGATACACGACTCCTCCCTCCACTTTTGTTTCTGCATTTAGACGTACACCTTTAGGTATGACTGACCGTGCAGGTTGCACCTGGCTAAGGGCATGCGAATGGGGTTGTGTTTTCCACAGTTTGCAAACTGGGCACCTTCTAACTTGTATATTAGAGTGGGTGCCTTTTTCTATTTACATGAGTTTCTGTTTGTGCAGCTACCTTCCTGTGCATCATAGTTTTACAGGAACCAGTTGCTTGGCTTTGGGTTTTATGGAATGCTCACAAGATTTTTTTTAAAAAAATAGTTTATTGATTTTTAGAGAGAGGAAGGGAGAAGAGAGAAACATTGATGTGAGAGCACGTCCATCAGCTGCCTCCTGCACACCCCCTACTGGGGATTGAGCCACAACCAGGGCATGTGCCCTGACCTGGAATTGAACTAGTAACTTTTTGGTGCACAGGACAATACCCAATCAACTGAGCCACACCGGCCAGGGCAACAAGCTTTTATAGTGTGTCATTCCATTTCATTCATGCCACAGACTTTGTATGGACCCAAGTCTTTGGTTAAAATTAAACATGGTGAGAGCAACTAAGATGGCGGCATAGGTAAACACCGGGAAATTATTGCCTCACACAACAATTGAAAATTACCGCAAAGGACCGAGCAAACATCATCCAGAACAACAGAAAGGCTGGCTGAGTGTAAATTCTACAACTAGAAGGAAAGAAAAGCACGCTGAGAGCCAGAGGCGCTGCGAAGGTGAAGTGCAGAGGTACGGCGGCGCGTGCGCGCGAGGAAAGGGGGTGGCGCCTGAGGATGCGGCTGTCTTTTTGAATCACAAACTCCGGTTCCGGGAAGTCTCTGGGGACCCAGGTCTCATACGGGGAGAAGCTGGTCTGTCCGGCAGCGAGCGAACGTGAGGGCGGCTTTCCCTCAGAGGTGCTTGCAGCCGTTACCGGAACACTGAGACGCGCCACTCCGGGCGGAGAATCGGCCATGGCCGCTTTCTCCGCCCTCTGACTCCCTGAGACCCCGCCCCACCCAGGCTGCGGCAGAGGCTTTTGCATGTGAATGTACCTAACTGCAGCCGAACCAGGCAGACCCGGAACTTCCAAGAGAAGGCCCAAGGCCCCGCAGCGGCTTGCATTGCTTCACAGCTGAGCCTCTTCGTGGCTCCTGCTGTGTGGCCTCAGGCAGAGGCTGAATTAGCACCTCCTTAGATCCAGGAGCCACTGTACCCAGTGGTCAGAGGGGGTTCATCCAGACTGCAACTCCTCAGATCCATAAGGGACGCACTCAGGGAGCAGACTCAGTGAGCACCAAAGCCCCACTGAAGCAAGTCTTGCCCCAGAAGGGTGTCTTCAGCACAGAAGTTCTCCCACTTTAGACACAGCTGATTCTCACAGCCAATTGGCCTGGAGGTCAATTCCTCCCAGTGATTCTACAACAACCAAGGCACCAAGAGTGCACCAAGAGTGTCCACCCCAGGTAACTGGGGAGGCTGAGCTACTGGGCCCTACAGGACACCTGGCGCACAGGGCCACTCTATCAACACAGGGAAGCTGCCAAAATGCGGAGACAAAGAAACAGGTCACAAATGGCAGAAATGGAGGAAAGCAAACGATTGGATATAGAGTTTAAGGCCACGGTTATAAGGTTTTTCAAGAATTTTATGGAAACTGCCGATAAATTTAATGAATCCCTCAATAAGTATAGGGAGACCATGGAGGACATGAAAAAGGACCAACTAGAAATTAAGCATACACTGACTGAAATAAAGAATAATTTACAGAGATCCAGCAGCAGAAAAGAGGATCCCAAGAATCAAGTCAAAGATTTGAAATACAAAGAAACAAAAAATACCCAACCGAAAAAGAAAAAGAAAAGAGATTCCAAAAATATGAAGATAGTGTAAGGAACCTCTGGGACAACTTCAAGCGTACCAACATCAGAATTATAGGGGTACCAGAAGGAGAGAGAGGGCAAGATATTGAAAACCTTTTTGAAGAAATAATGACAGAAAACTTCCCCTACCTGGTGAAAGAAATGGACTTACAAGTCCAGGAAGCGCAGAGAACCCCAAACAAAAGGAATCCAAGGAGGACCACACCAAGACACATCATAATTAAAATGCCAAGAGCAAAAGATAAAGAGAGAATCTTAAAAGCAGCAAGAGAAAGACAGTCAGTTACCTACAAGGGAGTACCCATACGACTGTCAGCTGATTTCTCAACAGAAACCATGCAGGCCAGAAGAGACTGGCAAGAAATATTCAAAGTGATGAATAGCAAGAACTTGCAACCAAGATTACTTTATCCAGCAAAGCTATCATTCAGAATAGAAGGTCAGATAAAGAGCTTCACGGATAAGAAAAAGCTAAAGGAGTTCATCACCACCAAACCAGCATTATATGAAATGCTGAAAGGTATTCTTTAAGAAGAGGAAGAAGAAAAAGGAACTCTTACCATTTGCCACAGCATGGATGGAACTTGAGAGCGGATAAATACCACAGGATCTCACTCATTTGTGGAATATAATGAACAACATAAGCTGATGAACAAGGACTGATCCAGAGACGGAGAGGCATTGATTGGACTGTCGGGACTTGGAGGGAAGGTAGGGGAGGGTGGGGGTAAGGGGGAAAGATCAACCAAAGGACCTATATGCAAGCATATAGGCCTAACCAATGGACATGGACAACGGGGGGGTGAGGGCATGAGCGGGGGTGGGGGGGGGTGGGGGGTAGAGCGTAACGTGGGGACAAGGACACATATGTAATATCTTAATCAATAAAAAATATATAAAAAAAAAATTAAACATGGTATAAAGAAGGTCATGGTTGGATATCAGTTCTCTTTCTTTGCTCCATTAGGTCATCAAGGAACCCAGACTCCTTCCATCCTGTTGCTCTTCCATGGTTTGTCCTCAGATACAACGTAGGAACTTGGCTGCCTCCATATCCAAGTTTCAGCAGGAAGAAATGGGGAGAAGGAAGGCTAGGACAAGCAGATTTGTGTTTAAGGAGATGACTTCCAAATTGCCCTTATGTTTGCTTAAATCCCATTGGCTCAAACACAGTCACATGGTCACATCTGGCTGCCGGGGTTCTTGGGAAATGTAGTTTCTAGCTAGGGGGACAATGTGTCCAGATACAATTCAGGGGTTGTATTATTAAAAGGAATAAGGGGAGTGGATTCTGGGATGGTTAGAGGCTGTAAGCCCCTGAGGATAAGGACTGGGTCATTGAATTTTTTGAATAAACACAGTGGATATATGTTGTAAACAAATGGTCACTGCCACAAATCTAATGCCATCAGGAGTCCCCAGTCGGGGGTGTGGTAAAAGGAGAACTTTATTACGGTAAACAGTCTGCAAACTAGGCAAACACAGCCTGTACTAGAAACCAAAGTGTTCTGGGGATAAAGGGGAGGCTGCTTTTTATAGAGAAAATCCCGTCCCTTACCCCTGCTAATGAGAAATACAAATGTGCAGAGTCTGATTGGTCCAAATAGCACTCTCCTGTCGGGGGGGAGGAGTCAGCTTAGTGCACTCTTATTGGTTGTTATGGAGCAGCTCTGATTGGTTAGTAACTATGCAAATGAGGACATGGATTAGATAGATCAGGTTTCAGCCCATTGTTTTGAAATACAACAGTAGCCCAATCTAGAAATCAGGAGGTCCAGGTTTGATTCCCTGTCAGGGCACATGCCCGGGTTGTGGGCTCTGAAGGCTCTAAGAGAGGATTCTTCCTGCCCTCTTCCAGCTTCTAGTAGCCCTAGGCATTCTTTGGCTGTGACAGCATCATTTCAATCTCTACCTCTGCCTTCACATGGCTACCTTACATCTGTCTCTCTCTGAATTTTAACTTGGTGTTACTACAAAGACCCTATTTCTAAATTAGGTCACTACTGAAATGTTTTTACTCAACACTTTTGCCGAAACCGGTTTGGCTCAGTGGATAGAGCGTCAGCCTGCGGACTGAAAGGTCCCAGGTTCTATTCCGG